TGGCCTAACAGGATTTGAAACTCGTTTTGGCAAACTCGCCCCAAATTGGGAAGGTCCTTATGCCGTGGCCGAAGTGCCACATCCTGGTGCCTATATTCTCCAAGACGCTGAAGGAAAGAGAGTTCCTAGAGTCTGGAATGTCAATAACTTGAAGAAATTTTACCCCTAATAAAATTCTTTCAAGTGTTCTACGTCTTACTGTTCTTTACGTTTCTCACTTCATGTTTGCTGAGATTCATTTTACTTCTTATTCTATGTACTCGAGGTTAATTAGTTCTTTCATTTCTCGAACCTCACTTCTGATTAATAGAAGTCACTTCACATGTGAAGTACTTTATTTCCTTTTAAGTTTGTTCACAGTGATGTACTTATTTCTAATCTACATGGAAGTTATTCACTTCTTCTTAATCCGTCTAAAGGGGTTTACTTCTCTTTGGTCCACTTCTTAAGTGATTAACTTTCTTTCAAACCACATCTCAAATAATCTCAGTTCTTTTATTAATAAAAAATAATAACAAAACTGTAAATCAAACACAAACAAACACATGATTTTAAAAATGCATTTTCATTCAACGAAAAATTACAAATTGTATCAATGTTCTACAAAAATTAAAAAACAAGAGTTCTCTGCTGGAGAGGTGACTGCATTAGCTCCTACTCAGCTGGAGGAGGTGACTGTGTTGGCTGCTGCTCGTCTGGCAGAGGAGGCTGCTCATCGTCAGAAGGAACTGGATGAATCTCCACTTCTGGAGCTGGTTGCACCTCACCCACTTCAGTTCCCTCCACTCTTGCCTCCACCTCGTCTCCCTCTACCTCTACCCCTTCTTCCTCCACTGCCACGAACTCGAAGTCGAACTGTGGAGGAAAAACAGCAAGACCATCTGCATCATCCTCCCACCTCAGCTTAATCTGAGGACGGAAGTCTGCTGACATGCTCTCGCCATCCTCTTCTACTCCTCCTTCTTGCTCGCCGAAGGTGATCTTTGTCACATCCACTTCGGGATATGCAGCCTTCACCTTCTTTCTGCAGTCTGTGAAAGCAATGATGGCAGTGGGCAGCCGGTACAGGTTGACGATGCTGTCAAACGAGCTGGAACTGATGAAGTTGCTGATGTGCTCCTTCATCCCATTATGAACCAACTTCTGCATGTTCCCTTTCAGCTCCTTGAATGCCTCTGTCATCAGCCTTATTTCTTGCGCCTGAGCCTCACGCTCGCTTTCAGAGATCCTTCGTTTGCTCTCCTCAAAGACGAGCTTGGTGCTCAGGGAAGACCTCTCTTGCTCCAACTGCTTCATAGCTGGAACCACCTCGTTCAGAGACTCTTGCAGCTCCTTATTCTTCTTCTCCAGCTCTTCCTTCTCCTTCTGCAG